CTTCTTACTCTTGTTGTTGTCCGACTGATTAGCATCTCCCGCTCGGCTCTTGCCACTTCTCAGCCAGCCTTCTTCCTCGCTATCTCCATAGCCCGACGTCAGGATCTCAGTCCGGCCGAACTTCCGAGTCAGCTCTCGGTGCCTGACGCCGACCTTGAAAGGCGCAGATCGCTAGTGCTCGGTGACATTGTTCATTGTGTTATGCAGGATAGGTCACCGCTGAATCTACTCCCGGAGAGTTTCCTTTTGCTTTTGGACACAATGCTACAACTCTGACAGACCACCCGACCGCTTGTACGTGCCCTCAAAGGTCTTGACAAAGACTCGGGCCAGGTCTTCCCAACAGTATATGCTGCCGTGTGGGAGCTGGTTGAGCCAAGCCTGAGCAGATCCCTCGAGCATCAACGGAACATGTTTCATGGCCACATTTTCATTGCTGCCGCCGATCTGAACCGCCATTCAGTAATCTTCTAACCAGATTTCTCCCTTAGATTCGCCAGTGAACTTGCTGATTCCTGTCGCCAACCGGAAGTTGTTGGGGATGTCTGCAACCCAAATGTATTGGCTGAAGCACTCGGGACTGGAAGGTGCCGATGCACTCGGAGCATCAACATCGAGGCCCTCCCTCAGAGCCTGACGGATCACTTCCTCGGCTGCAGAGCCAGAGGGCTGGATGGAATCGGCGATCCTAGTAACCGCCGCCAGGTTTTGTAGTGGGGCGCTGAGCACCTGGTACTTCCAAGGCGGATCACTCAAGAACAGTCGACACTTGTGCCGACGCTTGCGTCGATCCATCCCATCTGCGCGTCAAGCGCCTTGAGAATGGAGGTGGATTGGGCTCCCGCAATGTTGTCCTGTTTGGCGGCACGATTGATTGCATCGGTTTTCATCCCGTCAAGGTAGGTGCGAAGTTCCGAATCCATGGCCACAACGAGAGCTTCATGGGCTTGTTTCCAGCGAGGAGCATCCAATGCTGGCATCGGCGGAAGGGTCATGGCTGGTCTCTCATAGTACCACGATGTTAGGATCTAGTTCTCTCTATTGATTTCAGTCGCTCAAGTATAGTAGGTGGTCTCTCTCTCTCTCTCTCAGATTGGGAGAAATGGTAAACGCAAAAAATGTAAAAGTCGTCGAGCTGTTGCCGTGATCCACCAGATGCCTTCCTTCGGCCTTTTTCACTATTCTGGCTCTTTCAGCAAACTTTATCACAAAATGAACTCGACATGAAAGTATTTCACGATCTGACCCTTTTTAGCAACGCCATAGCCCGCGGCGTTTCTGCCCAACATAGCAACGCCGAGGTAGCTAGCGCTTCCGTCCAATAAAAAAACGTCGAGGTAGCTCGCGTTTTGGACCATGTAAGAAATGCCATAGGCGTTGGCGTTTCTGACCAAGAAACAAACGCCATATGTGTTGGCGTTGCGGCTCTGGTTATCGAGTAGTTTCTTACCTTGGCGTTTCTAAGAAGGCCGGAAACACCGCTAGTCTTGGCGTTTCTGACCCGGCGTCTCTGGCATCTGAGGAGGAAGACCCTGACGAGGCAGCGAGTGGGTTGGGTGCTAGCGAAGAAACGCCAAGGCCTATGGCGTTTCTCATCTGGTCCGAAACGCGAGCTACCTCGGCGTTTCTTTGTTGGATAGAAGCGCTAGCTACCTCGGCGTTTCTTTGTTGGATAGAAGCGCTAGCTACCTCGGCGTTGGAATGTTGGGCAGAAACGCCGCGGGCTATGGCGTTTCTAAAAGGGTTAGATCCTGAAATACTTTCATGTCGAGTTCACTTTGTGACAAAGTTTGCTGAAAGGGTCAAAATAGTGATTTCAGCCCCTTCCTTCCCCTTGCACCTCTTCTTAAGTAGCATGGGTCTAGTTGGGGCTCACGTACGTGTGATTTGGATGCACGATCCGAGCTGGATGCTACATGGCGTGTCCCTCTTCCTGATTGGTCTCTGCGGGCTGCGGTCCATGTGGCTGCCACGGCAGCGTGTTTTGCTGCCATGGCAGCGCTTTTCTCATCCTGACCTCACATGCGAACGTGAATCTGCACTCCTTAGGAATATAAACGATAAACGTTTCGACACACATTCTGGCAGGCATGGCTGGCTGGTCACGTCAGCAGATATTAACATGTGTAGCAGCCAACTGGAACAAGCATGCGCACCTGTAATAATAATATAACACACCAAAGTCTGCCTGTCGACACTAATTGGGTATACACTACGGTCCAGGCGTACGTGTTGCTCAGTAATTGGTTCAGCAGTTTACGTACGCACTCCTTGTTTCCTGCTTGACCAGCTCCGTGGAAGTAATAATAATAATTAAGGTAAATTAAAAAGGCGGTTTGTCCTCTTCAGGTACGACTTGATAATCCGAAGATGCATGCCGTGTTGACGATGCCAGACTACGTACGTTTGTACCAAAATTTCAGCAAAGAAACCGGTCTTACCTGGCTAGATTAAATAAAGTAAGTATATATATGGGTAAATTAGCAGTTGCACTAACTTGTTGCCAACTGCACGTTTGACTTGATGTCACCAGTGGGAAATTAGAAGCACATTTTTTCAAAGGGCAAAGATGCATGCATGCATATATGTTGAACTCTGTTTCGACCAGCTGACTTTGAAGATATTTCTCACCGCTTCAGCATGCAGTGCCATGCAGTGCATGAATCAACCTCAGCATTACGTACGTGTAGGTACATTCGATTCTTGGACAAGATTCTTATCCAAATCTTGAAAGGCTGCTACTCGAGTGGCCAATCTTGCCTCTTGGGAGGAGACATGGACGGCCACACGTACTGCGTGCACAAGTTATCATAATCAAACACAGACTGTAGTAACTCTGTAAAAAATGTTTGCCTTCGGGCGAGTGGGATGTGTGCTGGTTGTTGAACTTATGCTCCTGTCATCTTTGATAGTGATGAAACCCAGGGCGGGGTGACTTGTAAGAAAAAAGGAAAATATCTTTGTAACATGTTTAGGTTTCTTTTTTTTTCTGCATTGTCGTTGTAACATTTTTAGTTAACAGGCGTTCGGTGGAACCCAACCCAACCAACGATCTGACCATGTCCTTCATCGACTTGTCCCGATTTCAACAAGTCGTTTGATCGATGGCACACATGGGAACATTAGGGTCTTGGACCGGAACAACACCGGAAAGAGTCGTTTCCTAGTTTTTTTTTTGTCTTTTGAAA